ATTTAGAATTCTTGCATTTTCAACAAAGACTTTGAATGGTAATAAAAAGGTTGCTGCAACGTAAGCGGGAAAAAAATTTTGGTCCCTATAATTTAACACGTTTCCATTTGAAAGTAAGTGAATACCTAAGACGCTAAATTTTCTAGGTGTCAGTGATTTAATTCAAATGATACACGCTAAAAGTAATTAATTTTTAATTATGGTACAAAATATGTAACTCCAATAAGTATTCGATAATAAAAACAAGTAAGAAGGCTCCAGTCGAGGCTGCTCGACTAGGAGATACCCTGAACCCTCCTCCAAGCTGATATTCTAATCATTCTGGACTTCTTTTATGCACACATGCATACACATGCACTTATAAGCACGCGCTCTGCTAGCTGCGCAGTAAGCAGCGACAGCGCTTAGGCTGCGCTGCAATGTGGGCAATATTATGAGAATTTATTTGTTGAATAATTTCTTTTGTAGACATACGATCTTAATGAAACTTTCAGAGGGTAATCATATGTCTAATGTGTGTGTACATTCCAAAGCACAAGTCTCTAGTACTTGAAATGCGTTTTTTACAAATTAGGGGCGAAGGGGGCGTGGTATCCGAAATCTGTAAATTACAAAATCTTTGTATCCATTAACTCTATATACAACGCAAATTTGAAGTCTCCAGGTTTAAAAGTGTTCAAACTAGGCTAAAAAAAACAAGTCGATTTTTCGATTATTCTCGATAAAAAAGTTATCGGATGAGTTATCTAAAAAATAAAGCAAACTCGTACTACCTATGGTATACACGAGTATGCATGCGAAATTTCTCTCTAGCTCTTATATCTTCTGAGATCCTTTTGCTCATACGGACGGACGGACGGACGGACGGACGGACAGACGGACAGGGCTATATCGACTCAGCTCGTCGTCCTGATCAAGAATATATATACTTTATGGGGTCTGCGATGATTCCTTCTGCCAGTTACATACTTTTCACAAAACCATTAGGGAAACCCAGAACCCTCCAAGCAGATATTCTAATCATTCTGCACTTCTTTTATGTCTCTGGTAATTGAAATACAGTTTTACAAATTGGGGGCGAAGGGGGCGTGGTATCCAAAATTTGTAAATTAGAAAATCTTCGAATTCATCGTATAAATCTGAAGCCTCCAGGTTCAAAACTGTTCAAATGAGGCTAAAAAACAAAATCTTTTCATCGACTATTCTCGCTAAAAAGATATCGGATGGCTTATCGAAAAAGTATGATAAACTTGTACTGCGTATTCACGAGTCTACATGCAAAATTTCAGCAGTAAATTACAAAATCTTCGTATTCGTCAAATATATATACAAAATAAATGTAAAGTCTCCAGAACTAATAGTACTTAAATTTGGCAAAAATAAAAAGGAAAAAAAATTATCAATTATTCTCAATTATTCTAAAAAAGAAATTGAAAAATTATGATAGACATTTAGACATAACTTCTGAAAATTAAGCGTTCATACGAACGAAGAGACGGATAAGGTTATATCGACTCAGCTCGTCTTTCTGATTATGAATATATGTACTTTGTGGGGTCTGCCACTACTTATGCCTGTTACATACATTTCAACAAAACCATTATACCCTGATTTCCCGTTTTTAATAGGTTCCGGGTATAAAAATCAACTCGGTACGGATACGTGGTATCTTTGAGTCGTTTAGTTAGGACTACCCGACATTATTCGTGCCAAGTTGTCTGCGTGCAGAACAATCAAATTATTTCCGCACCTTTCTGCACACCCATTTCAAATTGGACTAAAGTGGACTTTTATGCAATTTGTAAATACGCTTTAAACATTTCTAAATAGATAGTTTTCAAAAATAGGTTGAATTTCAATTCCTGAAATTAAAAAAAAAACCTTAAATTTCTAGGAAATTAATGCTTGTAATTTATAAATTGTACTGAGTATATGATAGCCACTTTACATCTACGTAATTATTTCGTCCAACTGGTTTATTGTTTGTGGCGGGCTTTTGTTTTCATTATCGCTTTTATAAAGTGCAGGGCTAAAATCATTGTTTCATTTGAGGATTGAATTTTCGAGTTGCTAAAACGAGTGCAATGGAAGATATCAATATTTCAAAAGTTTTGTAGCTGTTTTTCCACGTAAGATCATTGTGAAAGGAATACATTTTTAACAATTTACTATTGTGCTTAGAGTTGTCGCGAGTACTAGCAAAATGCTGTTACAACCCATAATTAGTTTTCTGTGCTCAGAGTTGAAGAGGTTAAGAGCAAACATCACAATGTTTCTAATGTTCTTTTGGATTTTGTGGTTTTCACAAATCATTGCCATATCGACAATGTTTATGAGGTAAGGAAATTAGCCATATACAATATTAATTAACTTGATGAATAAATTCAATCGATTATATTCACACCGCCAACTCTATCCACCTGATATTTTTACTATATCAGTTTGATCAAAGTATCGTGAACGATTCGTAATCAGTCGAGAGCTGGTCCGAACAAATCAAATCGTTCATGACTAAATAACTGAATGCATAAGTGAATGGACTAACGTTCATAACCGATTCATTCAAATAGCCTATGAAATCCAAATTTGTATAAAAATGTTTGGTTTTATTTAAGTACATGTGCATTTATATATATAAATAAATATATATAAACATATATATTTATTATTATTAAATATATATAAACATATATATTTATTATTATTATTTTTTTTTTCAGCTTACCAGAAATAATTACTGACCTGCCCACCGTGACTGTGGCGGAGCTGCCAGTAGAGCTTGAGCATGTCAAGGAGCGGTTGACATTGGTAATGCCGCATGACGAGCACAGTTCGAGCAATAACACAGAGAATCAGCCGCCGTCAGAAGCGCAGGTGGCGCAGAAGGGTAAGTTTTTTTTTGAAAGGAAATCAACAATAAAAGAAAAAATTCTGAATAGAGTACTATTATAGCTGAACTGAACATCAATGATCCGGGCGGAGGAGTGAAAATAAATTCATCAACTGGTTCCGAATCTAATGCTGTATTGGAAGCAAATGTGACTGGGGATGAAAGTGCCGTAGATGCTGTGGCAATTGAAAGCAGAAATGCTACGGTGGAGGAAGTGCCGATGCCGGTATTTTCGGAGTGGGCACAAAAGCAAATCGAGGCAGAGGCAAGTCGTGAACAAGCTATGGAGCTTGAGCAGCAGGTCGTAAACACTTCAGCCCAGCGGAAAGATGCCACTGGGTCTGGAAGCGGTAAGCCCACGTCGTTAAAGTTACGTGCTAAAAACTACGCCTCGCCGGACTGTGGTGCCAAAATAATTGCCTCGAATGCAGATGCCACTAACACGGGCGCGGTGCTGAGCCACTCCAGTGATGAGTACATGCTAAGCACATGTGGCAGCCGAATCTGGTTTGTTGTAGAACTCTGTGAGGCCGTGCAGGCACAAAAAGTCGAGCTGGCAAACTTTGAACTGTTTAGTTCATCGCCTAAGAATTTTACAGTGGCAGTATCTAAGCGGTTTCCAACGCGTGATTGGAGTAATGTTGGCCGATTTGCTGCCGAGGACAAAAGAACAGTGCAAACGTTTGAGCTTCATCCGCATCTGTTTGGAAAGTTTGTGCGCGTGGATATACATTCACATTACTCCAAGGAACATTTTTGCCCAATTTCACTTTTTCGTGTGTTCGGTACATCGGAATTCGAGGCTTTCGAGACAGAGATCCGTCACAGCGAGGAATTAGATGATTTTGATGATGATTTTGGCGGCCAGGAACAGCAGCATAAACCAATTACCGGGACCGATGGTGGCGGTGCAAATATTTTCCAAAGTGCGTCCGATGCAGTCATACAAATGGTGAAGAAGGCAGCCCAGGTGCTCGTGAAGCCCACTAAAGCGATACGCTGGTCTTCCGATTCTTCGCTCTGTTATACACCCACTGTTGGCATGTTTAGCTGCAAAAGCTGCAATAGCTCCATCGTAGATCGCATCAACAACCTTCTATCTTGTCAATCTCCGCAGCTGGAGCTGCTACTTGTGCTGCCTCAGTTGCGAAATCATTTGTTGCAGACTCGCATTTGTCAGTCCGACTACAATATTAGCCTGGGCTTACCAAGAAAGGCAGATTCCTTGACAAGTGGCATGGACAAACGCCAGAGTTTTTATCTGAGTGTGTTGTCAGCGGAACATGTGGGTGCCATTTGCAAGCTTCTAGAGGCAAACCTAAGTAGCACCAAAGAAAAAATCGTCGATTTGACAGAGCCTGCACAGCAAGTTGACGTGACTAGTATATTATCTGAAAATGTGTCCAAAAGTGAACCGTCAAAAGAGCTCGAAGGCGATGCTAAAATTACCATACCAAATGAATCCTTGCCTGGCTCCACACCCATTTTGAAAACAGTGCCAGTGCCAGAAATGCCATCGTGCAATGAAGTACCAGTAGTCAGTTTGCAACAGAATGGACCAGTAACAGATGACAGTGCAATAGCGGACCCACCATCGGATGTGAATATATTTAATGTTCCACTTGCCAATCAGAAGGACCCGACACCAGCCTCTGCACCTCTCGTGCCCGATTCGTTACCCCCATCTCTCACATCACCATCTTCATCTGCAGTGGACCCCAACGAACTGCAGCCCACCAAGGCCCCTTCAATTACGACGACCAACCATCCGCCATCAACTTCGGGCGAATCAGACAACGGAGACTTGATAGGCAGTGGCAACGGTTTGGATGACGGCAATCTTTCCAACTGGGAAAGCATCGACAGCTTACTAACCACAACGGTCGCCTCAATTACTGCGGGCGGTGGAGCAGCTGCAGCTGCAGCAGCTGTTGTCAACGGCAATACAAATATGGGAAACTCTGCAGGTACAGGAACTGCAGGTAGCCTAAATTTACAGCCTAAACTAACGCATGGACCGCAATCGGAGAGCGTATTCATTAGGCTGTCAAATAGAATAAAGGTAACTATATATTCAGAGTTCTATCTATCTTAAAAGAAACTCACGTGCCAAGTTTTAGAGTTTAATTTCTGAGACCAAACGGTACGGTATAACGCTAGTAACATACATGTATATCTTAACTCATTATCAGACAAGGTTAGTAGATATACCAAGTGTCTGGCTTCAATGACGATAATAGCCCCAAACCAATATGGTAATTTGATTCACTGAAATGAGTATCCGTAAATCTTAAACTTAAATATATCACAAATTCAAAACACGTGTTTTTGCTATGCTGCTGTAATCCACTTGACTTCTACAATTTACTCCAATACTTTAGTAGCTAGTTGAATAAAATTATATTATTTATGAATATATATATTTATGAATATGAACGATGCTTACGCTATAAGTTGATTTTGCCCAAAAATAGAGAACACTTCGATTTTCGGAAACTATAGAAGCTAGAAACTATATATTGCATATGTAGAGTATTCGCAGATGGAACTTGTGTAAAAAAAAATTGATAGCAAATTTTGTTTTAATTGGATCGAGAAAACCTATAGGTGGAAAATACAATACAATTCTGATTTTTCTTTTATTATATTTTTGATACGCCTGTCATATTATGACATTCTAAAAGTTTGCCTATCTATAAGAACAGTTATTCCACAAATAATTTACCAAAATATAACCCAAATTGCAGTCCAGACGCACTCGCTACGTCAACTGCGCAGTATAGCAGAACGTTTGCTAATGTTGTGTGCGTGCGTGTGTGTGTGTGTGGTAGTAGTACGGTAGTACGGGCTTTATAAGAAACTTTGTTAGTTCTTGCCAGTTTCCATGCCGTGCTTATGGCAGCCTCGCATGTTGTAGACTTATTACGGTCAAGGCTCAGGGCTGGTACACCTACATATTACGTTGTGTCTAACATTCCGCATAGATGACCTTGTTCATTGCCATTGTTTGGTTACATCAATTGCAAAAACGACAATGACGGCAAAGCCGCCAAGCAGGCAGTAGGTGGATTAAATGCTATCAAATTCTGTCTTTTGCAGGCACTCGAACGAAATATGTCACTGTCGGGACAATATCTAGAAGAGCTGTCACGACGTTATAAAAAGCAGGTGGAGGAATTGCAGCAGACCCTTACGCAACAGGCACTGACTGTGCGTACCTTAGAGGATCAGAGTCGACGCTATCTAGAGCAGGAACAACTCTATCAACACCAAAGTGCGGAGCTAGCTGGGGAAGTGCGTGCGCTCACGTATCAAGTGCAAGCGTGCATCCTCGTTATCATTATAGTTGGTACGTGCATCTTTCTTATGCTAGTAGTTGGCACTGTCTTCTATCGTAAGTTGCGACGCCAAACTCAGCAGTTGATGCCGACGAGGGCAGCTATGGAACTGACTAAGAGTAATATCTGTCGTCGTAAATCGTATGAGGAAATGATGCAGCAGTCGCTTGGTAAGCAACGGAGGCCTAGTGAGGAGGCCATGCTTATACTGAACGGATGTGGAGACAGATCGGTAGAGGAGCAGTCAGAGGTTGGCCATGGCGGCAGGCAGCGCAAGATTTCAGTATGTTATGGCAGCAACAATAACATAACCAATCATATGATCAACACGAGAACATCTTTGCACAGGAGAAAAGGCGCAAAGCATTCGTGGCAGTCAAACATAGACTCTGCGCCGGTATCGTGCGTTGAAAATGTAGACAAATTCTTCGACGTGGGTAAGTTGAACCAGACTTTCCTGCAAAAATGTCTGCTTATGTCATATCAATTCGTTGCAGATACACTAAAAGCGCAAAGGATGTTGACCAAGCCAACCAAAAAGAAATCGCTACAATTTTTCCCACAGGAACTAAAGCGTCAGGAGTCAGCGCCTGCAAATTGTACACAAGAATACCGTGCTGAGGAGCATACGCAGAGCGACTTTGACGAGAGCCTCATACTGGACGACGATGATTTATGCAATTTTATACCCAACACTGACTTGGCTTATAACGAATTTATGCCCGATGGACCATCAGGCTACCAGATTGTGGACACAGTTGATGGAAAGTGTGATAAAGGGCAGGCGACTAAAAAAAGTCGCCGTGTTTCATCGCCAGCATTCTTCAAGTCACCTTTCAGCAAAAGCAAAAATAAGGAAAGCAGTCTAAATGGAGATGGCAGTGGGAATCGCATCAAGGCCAGCCAATCAGCGCACGAGGCCACATCTTGGGAGTGGTATCGTTTAAAGCGCAGTGATAAGCAATCCAATTCGAAGCCTTTGACGACAGAGTCAGTTGCATCTAATTCGCCCAATGCGAGCATAGACAACTCGTCGTTGTCGGAAGTTAGCTTTCCTTTGAACTCTACCCAAAATTCATTTCGCATACTTGGCGAAGCCATACTATCCTCGGGCGAGGGTAGAGCCAGTGGCAAGAGCAGCATTGTAGCCGCTGGTAGCAGCAGCAGCAGTGGCGCAAGTACCACATCATCCACAACGAAAAAGAAGCAGCGTGCCTTCAATAATATTTTTCGAAAAGTCTTCTGATGTAGCCCTTGTCACCTGGCTAATTATTTAATATTATTCTTTACTTAATTACTTGTTCCCTTAATTGTGTTCATTTAGGCTCACTTTTGGGCCTACGGCATCAATTCGACTGATGTTATCTACGTAGATAATACAAAATTTGTTGTAAATTAAACTTCAACTCTCTAAAATACCACTCAAAATTTTTAATTTCCCTATTTCTGAAGAGTTCCTTAGTGTTTCAGTGAAATGCAAATGACTGTAAAAAAATCAATTATTTATATCTTCAAATGCTTTTAATTGTAAATACATGCTTGCTGCTTATATATATATATATATATATATATATATATATAAACTTTCGAAAATATTCCAAGCATTCTTTCCTCTTGCCCAGCGTTAATTTAAATATTAAGTTTGTAATCTATAAAGAACACTGCAAATCATTGCTGTATTAGTTTGTTATTAGAAATATTGTTACTACAATTATATATTCAAGTATATTAATAAATGTATTTTTATTTAAAGTAAATCAAAGTAATATTTTTTTGAAAGCACTATAAACTATTTTTATATTTTCAATTCACTGAGAAAATCTGTTACGTCAAGCGCATCCTTGTCGCTCAATTTCTGATTTTTAACAGCATTGTTAAGACGACGTCCAGCTGTGCCCATGTGTTTCTTCCATTGGTCGATCGTTTTGTACCTTTCGTCGTTTGCACAGAAGACAATCTCATTGATATCTTCGTCCAATTTATAGCTACAGACTGAAACAAACTGTTCCTTCAAATTGGCTATCGACTCGTCCCGCAAGCTTTCATCCCGACACACCAGATTTAACATAAATAGACCAGTTGGTCCTATTATCTGTTTTATGTCTATAAGTACTTTTTTGGCAAGAAAACTTTTCGGAGGGCAGCTCATGCCCAGCGAAAGATCCTTGCTATCCACATCAAAAAGCACTGCTCCAAACTGAATACCTACAAACAAAACAAGAATTTAAGATGATTACTAAACGTTGAGTCGTTAGCTTACCTTCATTACAACAGCGTTCCACGAAGGCAAGTCCATCATCGATAACAACGTGAAGGCGATTATCTTGCTTGAGCTCAAAATATTGCTCAGCTACTTCTAACATTATAGGATCTATTTCAACAGCAGTAATGCGCGTTTGACTGAAATTCAAATTAATTAGAAGTGGTTTAAGTATCCATTTATTAGTTAATGCTTACGGATATGCTGCGTGTAGAAAACTGCACAGGCCACCGCCACCGAGGCCAATGACTAGCACGTCGTTCTGTATATTTTTCTTAGAGCTCTCCATAGTTGCGGCAAGCTGTACACCTACAGACATGTAGAGATGATGATGGCAAGCCAGGTAGCCAAAATCGATTTTTTTGCGATCCTTCTTTCCTCTAATTTTAACTATAAATATACAATATACACTTATAGTTGTTTGACTTCATACATAGTTTAACTTCATACCTGTTTTTACCAACGCTTCCGATTGGACAACAAACTGATTCTTAAGAAAGATAAGGCGACGTAGTGTTTTACCATCAACTTCTACCTCTTCAATACGAAAGTCGCCAGATAGCTTAGAGAAACCACAAATTAGCGTCTCCCGCTTGCCTACCTCAGAGCCCAATGATAAATAGGGAATCTGTTCCTTAAGGCCAGCAGGCGCTAAATTCGTAATGCTATAACCTAATTCACTTTTCACCTCCTCAAGCGTGTTATAAACCTGATCGCGATGTAATGTCACCACGGCTAATCGTTGAAATTTGGCAGATTCCAGTAGTTTTCTGCGACCTTCTGTTGTCGCAAAAAGCCACTCGGTTTCACGGCCTTGTGGAACAATAAATGCAGCATATTTTCCCAGCCCTCGAGCTGACGTTTGCTCTAAGACATGTACTGTGTATCGTGGCGTTTCTTCCGAAGCTCTATATAGATCCATTGTGACTTCATTATGACCAGCTATACTTGAGCGTGATAGTCCATTGCAAACTAATGCTGCTTTTTGCACAGATGCCACAGCAGTTGCCATTTCCCTTGTGCAACTAAAACGTTGCATTTTTTCATTGCCAAGTCCAAACTCAAGAATCTGAAAATATAATTTGATATTAAATGCAGATCACTTAGAAGTATGTCATTTACTTACCCGCATTGGTAGGCTCTTGAACTTTGTCGCAATTATGACAAAGACAGGTAATATTAGCGAGTCCTCTGAATTTCTTTCCCTATTAGCGCGCTCCACATCCAGACAATGGACAATTCGCAACATACAATTATTTCGAGGTAGAAACTCCAGCAGATACTCAATGATGTGCTCCTGCAACATGGATACACCTACGTATCGTCCGCCATTGCTGCAGTTAAACATTTTTTTTTTTATATTATCTGTATTTTTAATGTTATTATAGAAAGTAAGGACTTACCGCATTGTGCGTAGTATTTCTGTAAAATATCTATTTACAATCTCTTTGGTTTCTGCGGAATCATTTACAAATATGGCGTCCAATGTGCCCTTATCTAACGCTACGGAGAAACTCTCATCCGGAAATGACATTCTTGTTGCATCCATCTTAATGAACTTCATATCTGGTCGCGTTTTTGTATTCAGATCTATCATCTTTTTTACGGCAACTGATGAGATGTCAATGTTAGTAATATCCCGAAATCCCGTGTCGTACATATCCATACTAAGCTTTGAATTGCCACAGCCAAGCATTAATATTTTGTCGACTGGCTTTATATACTTGTGTATTTGGTCGCAAAGTTCTACATACTCTCCATACCTAACAAAATTACAAAACAAACAAATCAGAAAAACCGGCCATGGGTCATGTGCGTACTCCATTAACAGAAAATATGTGCAATTACCATTCAAAAGCCTTTTCACCGCGTTTTTTGAAAAACTCATTCCAGTAATCTGTTTGCGCAAATTCTTCGCGCGTTCTTGGAAGCAAATTCATTGTCAAGTCCTATTAAATTAATTGTTGTTCGTTCAGAACACGTTTGTATTAAATCACGCATCTAACTGTTATTCAAAAAGGTGCTAAATATCACCGACAAATTGTGACGTCACGAAAGTGTATGTTTATACACTGACCAAAGAACACATAGATGAGACATGTAGAACAAACTTTTTCACCATCGAAAAAATGTGCATTAGGGACTACTCACCTTCGTAGTTGCTCGGCTCCGTCTCTTACGGCTCGAGCAGTGAAAATACAACACTACAAAGTCAGTTCGTTGCGAGCGCTCAAACGAAATGGTCCCATTCTTATATGAAGCAATACTATGCGCTATTTGTCCTACTCTCTCTCTCACTCTATCTCTCTCTTTAGTCTCTCAAATCACCGAACTCAGCAGCGCACAAAAATTGAATTTTGTTCGCGATGATCCCAGCTCTTTCCCTTTGAAGTGAAGAGTATACCTAATCATAAAAGCGTTTGTCACGCTCATGCAAACAAAATGTAAGCGTTTGTATGGTTATTCGTGAGAAGGGTATGAAAGCGTTGATACGCGTAAACAATATGATAATAAACAATATATACGCGACGGGCAAGTACACACACACTTGTAGTCCCTTGCTACATGTATGAGTATTTGTGACCTGCGGGGTTTCTTTTGCTGCTTGTAGCAATTTTAAAGCCCAGCATTTGCATTTGGTCGGTCTTACGGACTGTCATAACCACTTTACACAGATGTACTATGTATGAACATACATACATATGTACATAAGTACATTTATATATTATTATTGCTAATCATGTTTATAAATGTGTTTATATAAATAATTATATATAATTAAAATTATTTTATACACATTTTTAACCGAAAAAATTATCGTAAAACACTACTAACTTTATTAAATGCTTTGCAATATATGAAATACACATGTCATATTATACTCAAGCGTTACTCATTATTGTCAAAAATTTCTAATTAAGTCATAATGGCCCATTTGATAGTCACCCTACGATTCAAATAATACAAAATTTACAAACGACTAAATCCAGAGACAATTAGCTTGCCATCCCATACAAGCATACACATACACAAATGTATGTATGCATGTGCTCACTTCACAAGGCAGACCAAACGCAACTTTTGGGCTGATAATAGACGAAAATACTGAGAAAGAATTGAGTTTCGCGACGCACGCACACAAAAGCACATACACGTAGCAAGGATGTAAATGTGTGTGTGCATGCTCGTCGCGAAAATGTATTCTTTCTGTGCACAACAGCCTGTGCAAATTGTAAAGCCCAGAGACTGCAAGTGTGTGTGTCTGTGTGCACACTCGTCGCGAAAGCATTTCCATGAGTATCAACGCTGTCATACCCTTCTCACGAATAACCATACAAACGCCTTCATTTTGTTTGCATGAGCGTGACAAACGCTTTTATGATTAGGTATACCCTTCACTTCAAAGGGAAAGAGCTGGGATCATCGCGAACAAAATTCAATTTTTGTGCGCTGCTGAGTTCGGTGATTTGAGAGACTAAAGAGAGAGATAGAGTGAGAGAGAGAGTAGGACAAATAGCGCATAGTATTGCTTCATATAAGAATGGGACCATTTCGTTTGAGCGCTCGCAACGAACTGACTTTGTAGTGTTGTATTTTCACTGCTCGAGCCGTAAGAGACGGAGCCGAGCAACTACGAAGGTGAGTAGTCCCTAATGCACATTTTTTCGATGGTGAAAAAGTTTGTTCTACATGTCTCATCTATGTGTTCTTTGGTCAGTGGTATTATTTATATTTTAACATGAGTTTGCTGTAATTGAAATCAACATTTGCAATTCTCATGCAGCTCCAAAGTTGCCATTCACAGCGAATCGCACAGCTGAAAACGGATTTTATATTTGCTAAAACTAACTTGCGTTTTGTTTCTGTGCCGCTCTTGGTATTAAATTAATTGATTTAGGTATTTTCGTGTATACTTCTTGTGTTAGTTCATGTCAAAGTTAATTTATGATTGTAGACTGCAAAAATCAGTGCAGGTGAAGAGTGTAACTATCAGCATCATAAAAGAGGGAGGCAATTCGATGTTATCGCTTGGTACGAAGTTTTCTATATCTAAATACGAAACAATGGAAATCAATTGAGGCACGTCAATGTCAACGTCAGTTGCACAAAATATTAACAGCAGCACTTATCGACCAATTCGAAGTGTAAGTGGAAATGTGAAGATCAATCGCAAATTGGGGACCCAAAAACAGGAACCGTTTGAACTATAGGAGGTACAAATGCGTGCCGCTGGTGGACTTGTGCAGTCTAATGCTAGTGTGGAGCCAGTTATGTCACGTCTTGATTATGAGCAGACTGCTCTGCATCATAGCTGTCTCTTGGTGCTGTTGCGCGGCGTGGGACCTTCACGTGCCCGCATTTTGCAACGGGCTTTTGAGAAGGTGCGACGTGTCAATAATATCAAAGTAACGGGTAACTCTTCACGCACATTATATTATTGAATAACATTTCGATATGTGAACATTACATTTATTCGTTTGTAGACTCTAGCGGCACCGTCCGTACGGTTTATTTTCGCTTTATTCATGATCATCCCGTGGAGCATAACGATTGGGGTGACTTTCAAACCCATCGTCGCTTACTCGGCCTCATAACTATAGGAAAATTTGAGAATCAAACGGAATTGAACGAGCTGTGCCGTCACCATGAATCCCTAAAAGTTAGATATGGTAGCACGTTATATGAGTCACGTGCCATATTTTTTGGACCTGATACCCATACATCAAATGCAAATACTAAAGGAGATGCGCAAGCGGCGTTGCAAACAATTGGTGAGAATGTTGCAAACACGGATCAAAGTTGTACGGAAAAGAAGTCCCAGCTTTATGGTCGGCTTCAAGATGAGTTTACCACGCCATCCAATTTCAAGTCGCAAGCGTTCTTTTACCGCGAGCAGGATATCGGCATGGATCTGGAAGCTCGTGTCGAAGATTTTTTAAACGCATTATTTTGGGTACTGGAGTCGAGGCGTCTTGAACGATCGCGTGAGAAGGCCGACAAGGTCAGTCTCCTTTTGGCGCCCTTTGAGAAACGTGATTTTGTGGGCTTGGACATGGAGTCACGCAACAACCGTAAACGTTGTGTGGGCCGCGTGATGAAGAACTTGGCAGATCTGTCACTGCAGGCTGGCCTATTGGAGGATGCACTTAGCTTGTACCACAATGCCAACGAAACGCTGCGCTCAGTTGGCGATTCCCTGTGGGTGGGTGCCACAGAAGAAGGTCTATGCGCAGCCTCTGCTGTTATACTGTATCCACAAATGCGGGAAATCGAAGTATTACACAGGAACGCATCTCTGCAAGAAACAGGCTGGTTAAGATTAGTTTTATTTTCTTTATTTTTCTAATTTATTCTTCTTCGAATTTTAGGTGCTTCACAGCTGCGCACCACGCCGGAGAAATGGCGTGCAAGCGACGCAACGAAGAAGATAAATGCGAATGCATGCACTGTAACTGCGACCGCCGGATCATTAAACTGCACAGATGCTTTTACCTCCCATTCATCTTCCTGCTCATCTGTTTCATCCATATTGACAAATAATTCCTCAGCGTCGGGCACACCCACGACCTCGACGTCCTCTTCCTCGACATCGACAATATCGGTAGCGCAATATGGCCATCGCAATGGCGAGCTACCTGGTAATATAATAAAGCCTGAAGATATAACCAATTATTATCGGAAGGCAATAATAAACTATAGCAAGTATCGACATGCAGCAACCATTGAAACAGAGGCTGCTCTAAAAGCTTCGCGTATATGTATTGAGCAGAATCGGCCGCTGGATGTAGCCATGTTTCTTCAAAACATTCTGTATATAAATCTGAGCATGAGCGAATCAGATCGCGTTAAGCGATTTGAAGTCATAACGGAGTTATATCAGCAAATCGGTTACCAGCGCAAAGCTGCATTTTTTCAGCGCCTGGCTGCGCTAAAACATGTACAACTGGGTACCCAAACACCGGACTGGACCCAGAGCTATCGCCTCATGCTAGGCAGCTTTACAGGATATTTGCTATCTCTGGATCCCCTGGAAGTACTGGAGAATGCTGCTGGTTGGCCAGCATTGCAAATAGACCTTGTACAGAGTCTTATATCTGCAGCGAGACGTCTTGGATACTCGGCGCTGGCTACGCGTCACATGACATTTTTGCTTCAAACGCAGTGGGACAATATGTCAGCCACTGAGCAAAGCGAAATGGCTGTACAACTACAGGTATGGATTTCAAAGATAACTGATTATAATGAATTATAAGTAATTGCAGAGTTTTGTTTCCTACTTAATAGGCTTTTAATTACATTCATAATGAATTCATAATGAATGAACTCATGAATTATTATTTATTTATTTTAGAATCTGAGTGCACAGTGTGAAGGTTCGCCAGTTCCTCTGGTGCTGGAAAATGGGACTGTGATTCCGCCCGCCAACCTTACGGATTTACCCTATTTAACTCACTTTGCTGTACGAGACTTACCTGCACATTTGCGCCCGCAACGTATTAAGATTGCCAAAGCGGACAGTGGCCCATTTTTGTTCACTCCCATCCACTTCAACTCTGTTGATCGCCGGGACAAGAAGAAGGAGAAAAACAAAATAGGCATGTGAATATAATTCGTAGAATAGAAGTATTTATTATTTGCTGATTTTTGTAATAGACTTTCTATGGGTGCAAAACGATCTTTGCGAGGTATGCCTAACCCTGCGCAATCCCTTGCCATTTGAGCTGGCTGTCACAGACATGCGTCTGCTTACAAACGGAGTGGTATTTGAATCTGTGCCCCAGTCGGTTGTCTTGCAACCGAATGTGCCTACACAAGTCTCTCTGCATGGAACACCAATTGAAACTGGACAACTGGATCTGCAGGGTTATAGTACTCATACTCTAGGTGTCAAGTCGAACTGCCGACTAAAGCACATGCGAGGACGCAACTTTCCGCCTAACTATCTTGTGGATGTGATACCTGCCTTGCCAAGTATTTCTATTAAAACATCGCTTCCACAGTCTGCATCGTTTAGCAACATGAACAGTGCAGACCTGGTGGTTACATCTGCAAGTCTCACTCTATACAATGGTGAGTCCTCTAGCTGCATTATTACCATAAGGAATGAGAGTAACACAATACCGCTGGAGCATCTCGAAGTATACATTAATTCAAATGTGGAGCAGGAAACACAAAGAAAAATGTTTCAAATTAATGAACAAGCGCTGGTGGTAAATATAAATAGTATATTTTCAATCACTTTTGGTAATATCAAGTCGTTTTCAGACTCAACTACCCGTACCTCCGCTAAGTTCTATTGAGTTCGAGCTCGTTATATATGCTGACGCTGATTTCGTATGCCCCCTACCAACGGACTCCATAAATTCATTTGGTCCTGTGGCTTCTCAAGAATATGGATCGTCTTCGTTTTCGCAGTACTCTAATATTTCCAGTCAATCTGCTAGTCTACCGTCACGTGTCAGTTCACCCCAATATCGTCGCCAAGATAATATTAATGTTCGTTCAAAAATATCCGGGACTCAGTATTCAATGAACACTTTAAGCCTACAGACGAGCGGAGTAGGTGTTTCCTCCAATGCTGGGTCGAGCTTACATTCTACACAGAACAGTCAACATGTGGAAGCTCAACTGCGCATCAAGTTTTCCGGCGGAGAGGCGTTGGCTGAAGGGTTTTGTCGTCAGTGCGCGGTATCTTTTAACCTTGAGCTACTTCCTAGTACAATGATTACAGGTTGGGATGTGCTACCCGCAGAAATGTACATAAGTAATTTAAATTCCCATTTACGATTGGTGTATTAATCTATACAATTTTTGCAGCCCTTCGCAGTTCTACTTAGTTCTGGACATATCTAACTTAACCGCTCAAGAAATGTCACTCAACTACACTGATAACAAGAATATTCTCATCGAGGCCAAAGAAAGTTGTCGAGTACCTATCCCGGTTGACCGTTGTTCATTGGAGCAAATATGTGTTGCACGTGCAGCTGAAGTTGCTGAGAATCTGGAGCGCGGTATTTGAAAAATATATATTTAATAGTTTACATTTGATAACCCTATTTTCACAAACCCAGAGCTGTGTTTCCGTACGCAAATTCTTTCCTTCAATGATGCACTCAGCAAGCTTTGCTCAAACCATATAGCGGACCGTGTGAAAATTAATTGGCTACTGACGGGCACTGACATAAAAGGCATTGCCTCACTGCGTGGAATCGTTCTGTCACATGGCATGGTGAATTTGACCACAATCTCCCCTCTTCAATGGGGTAAGTTACAATAGAGTTTTTATAAGAGTTTTATCTAATTTGCTTTAAAGCTATAAGCTTTCAGGATATAGTAGTGCAGCCACACTGCGAGTTAATGTGCATCGTTGGGCAGAGTGCGAAATTAACGATCAGTCTCACAAATCAATCACTACAGCCACTTAAGCATTTGGTATTAACTATCAAATTCTACCAAGACTACTTAAACGGCATAGAAAACTACAATCTTGAGACACGCGTTGCAATATCTGGACCTAACCGGTACAGAACACTTTTCCTCAAAATATAAATTTGTGCGAAATAATTTTGATTTATTTTGCAGAATTACAATCCCTATTTTGGAGAAGTACGAGCAATTGGATCACAATTGCTCTGTGATATTTTTTACGCCTGGTCGCTTCAAGGCCAACATTGAGTGCGCAACTAAGCCCCAAGAGAGTGACAGTATTTTGACACGTTCTTGTCCAGAAGCTACCAATTTAAATCAATTAGGAACAATGTCATCTCCACCAGCCAATTTAAACACTATTTCGAGTTCTGGCCTTGACGAGCATCAGGCGCATATATGGAAATTTATACCACCCATTGAGGTGACTGTTGTAGAGCCGTGAATGAGTAAATTGTTAAGGATATGTAGTTTAATTTTGTTGCATCTGTAGTTATGTTTATTTGTATTTATTTTCGTCTCACATAAACCGAGTACTGTGAATGTACCGTCTCCTGTAGTTCTATGCGATATATGATAGCGCTGTTAATCTGTGTAAACACAAATAGCTTACCGTTACTGTAATATGAAAAGCAATTGTTTGCAAATTATTATGCATCATATTTATATATTAAAAATATATATTTAAGCTCAAACTATGCACTATACTTTACAGCTAGAATGCCATAATATATGTAAATACCATATATATATAAATATATATATATATAGAAACTTTGAAACAACAAAATGAAATGTTAGGTAGTTAATGTTTCGCTTACTAAACTCTTAAACTGAGAGCATCAACCACAACAAAAAATTTGATAACATGTATGTATTTACAATATTTTTATACAATAAATAAATGAAAGTTAGAAAAAAAATATGTTTACAAATGGTAGAATATAAAAATATAAAAAGAACGCAATACAATAATAAACACACTTTCGTGGAAATTTTTTCTCTATCCCAGTCGACGTATATCGTCCATTGTGTAGCCAGTGCGATGCATTAAAATACACAATAAAACGTAGAGATAATATCCGCCAGGAATTATAGTCAATGCACCTATGATTGTCAGTGCCCCGATGCGATCTGACCTATCCTGATTTACGTCCGCTAGCCAATCTATGGTTGCACAGCATATGCATATCTAAAGAAAGAAAAATGCTTTTAGAATATATTCTTCAGTCTACAATATATCGAAATGCATACAGTTCCACCGAAGAACAATATAAGAATGATTGCAATGGTCTTCCATGGTATCGGTTCCTCCACATTCGGCGCTACCCATTGTTCATTCACAAAGCCATCTGTCTCGGTGGTGTCGGTGCTAACCTTGTAATCACCAGTCGACAAACCAGTTGCATTCAAGCGACGGCGTGAATCAGACTTATTTGGCAACATATTTGAAAACTTGATGTTTTCCATTAGATCATGCGGAGTGTCATTGATATGGCCAGTTTCGTATTCACTTTAAACCGTTTTCAGACATGCATCATGCATTCAATGCTAAACAGAGAACAAAATGAAACAGCTGACTGAATCAGCTGAGGACTTCAACGATAGAATTTGTTTAGTATTTTACATATGTATGTACATAAGCCGCCAAATTTATTAAATACTATTAAAATACTATTAGTATTTATTCCCTTAACTAAACAAATATCGTTTTTTTTAAAGAAAATTATTTTAATGTTGGTATTTCAATCCTATTTTCAATAGAAATTTAATTATCGAATTCTATGGTATTTAAAAAATACCCCATTATATATTGAAAAAGGGAAATCAGGGTATAATGGTTTTGTGAAAAGTATGTAACAGGCAGAAGGAACCATCGCAGACCCCATAAAGTATACATGTATATATTCATGATCATGACGATGAGCTGAGTCGATATCGCCCTGTCCTTCTGTCCGTCCATCCGTATGAGCAAGCCGATCTCAGAAGCTATAAGAGCTAGAGAGCTGAAATTTCGCATCAGGCTGACCGCGCCGGGCCAAACGAAAAATACCAATTTGGTCTCAAAAATATACTATAAAATACTATTTCATATTTTACAAAATACCACTATAAATACCATAACAAATAAATCGTCTGAAAATTCAAATTATAATATGTAAAAATAACTGACTTATTATATATAGAAAAAATAAGGGTTTCCCATTGCAAAAAATGTTTATTGTTTATTTCATTTTAAAAAATTAATAATATTTCAGTCCAACATAAAACTAGAACAATATGCATTCGTATTCAATTCCATATTCCAATATATTTTTAAAGTCTTAAAATTAATTAAATGCTTAAAATTCATTTTGTAACATTTTCTTAAAATAAAATAAAGGAACTTCTTTGTTCAGTCTTGCTAGTTTCTCTTAAGATCATTTAATTATATTTACTAGCCTTCTTCGTCAGAGCAGCTTAAATTCAATTTGTTGAAATCTTTACATAACATTTGTTCATTGGGCTTAAAATTATTGCACCCATTTTCGCGCAATGATTGTTTTACATGTAATATATGTGATACATTTACATTTTGAAAGCGGTTTCCATTTTTCGTTTTGATTAAATTAATTTGAGAGAATATGCGTTCACACGACGCATTAGAAACGGGCAAAATTAACATAGATTGAGCAAATTTCGAAATATTCGAATATTTATAGCAATTATTTATATCTTTTAACTGACTCAATTCGTACCAGAATGTATCGCAATTGAGATTTTTAGTCAAAAGCATTTTAACCATGTCGTCAGTTTTCATTGTTCGATACTCATTGTCAATTATTTGTGGATCATTGACAAAATCGGGAAAGCGTTCATACAGCTTGAGCAACGATTGACAATTTTGATTATTAAAATCATTTGGATCCAAAAAACTTAACATTTTCAGAAAGTTATCTTGTAATGGCAATCTTTTTTTTAGTTGTACGCATAACTCGATTAAAAATAACTGGCTACGTTTCAAAAAAGCCAATTTATGTTCTTTGTCCAAGCTATTTGTTGAAAGTTCAGTTTCCACTTTTATTCCGAGATACATGTCTTTTATATGTACAAAATAAAATGTGTTTGTTGGCTCTATGGCATTTAAATCTGTATTATTTATATACATCTCCTGCATATAACAAGCTAATACACTTTTGTAAAATTCGGACATAGTTTTATATAAATGATGTACAACAGATCGACTAGACTGGAATATGATATTGAATTTATTCACTAAAGCAAGTATATAATCCAAAAATAAAAGATAAAGTTTAACAGTTGGATTTTTTAAATTAGATAGAATATACTCAGCTGATAAATTGTTATCAACTTCATATTCTTCTTGGAAGAATGCAATGAGGGCATCCCACTGTTCTAGTACGCGTGCCACACAACAATGAAACGATAGCCAACGTATCTCGTAGTGGTTAAGTATATTGTGTGCAGGAGAATCTAAGAAATTTGTAAACTCTTTAAATTTTCGTCGACGCTTGGAACTTTTTGAAAAGTAGTTATATAGCTCTTTAATGGTTTGCTCTAAGTTTCGAGGCAGTTGCATGCAAGCATAGCTTGAAGCAAGAGCAGACGAATGGCAAACACATTTTACAGAAAAACATGATTTGTTGACGTCTCGTATCTTCGTCATAATGCTATTGCGCTCACCATACATCACATTAGTTGTGTCTGCAGCAAATCCAATCATATTATTGATGTCAAAGCCATTAAGTTTGAGTCCATCGCTGAGTGCTGCAAAAAGGTCGACTGCTTTTTCACCCTCTAAGTCAATGGTGAACAAGAATTTTGGTTGCGCTTCCTTGTCGAAATACATAACAGCACACGCCAAGACCTTTGTACACGAAACATCAGTCGATTCATCAATGATTATGGAGAACACAGGCCTTCCCGCTGCAGAAACGCACCGTTTCATGCTAGAGATCAGTTACTCCTTCATCACAGGTGACAGTACATTGTACGTAAGCGAAGCTGTTTTGGTGCGTTTGCAGCAAAACCCTTGCGCAATGGCACTATCGGGAAACGCATGCTTGACCACATCGCTAATATGGTCCATTGCTCTCATAGATATGTTGTGTTCAGCAATCGCTGCAGCAAACATAATTTCTGCTTTTTTGATAGAGGTAGCTAGAGTGTTGTCCGACTCTAAAAAACGATTGAATCTGAAAAAAGAATAGTTATTATCTACATATAATTTAAAAGCATATAAAGAACTCACCGGCATAGTCTTCCACTCAACTCTTTTTTTTTTGCTTATTGCTCATGTTTTCTATTTATTTGTTTTAAAATAAAGCAAGTCTTAAGTATTAAGCATTCGATTCATTAAGTCTTAAAGTGTGACCAAACCGAAAATACCATATAATACCATAAAATCGATGAAAATGCTACTAAATACCTATATACCATTAAAATACTTTTGAGCAAAATCAGAGCTGATAAAATACCAAAAAGTATTAAAAATACCATATTCGGTCACCCTGTTTCGCATGCATACTCGTGTATACAAGTTTATCTTATTTTTTCGATAACTCGTCCGATAACTTTTTTTTTTTATCGAGAATAGTCGAAAAATCGACTTGGTTTTTTCAGCCTAATTTTAACACTCTTAGACCTGGAGACTTCAAATTTGCGTTGTATATAAAGTTAATGGATACAAAGAATTTGTAATTTAAAGATTTAGGGTATCACGCCCCCTTCGCCACAAATTTGTAAAAGACGTATTTCAAGTACTACAGACTTTAGAATGTAAAAACATTTAAACCATATGATCACACTAAAAGTTTCATAAAGATTGTTTTACTACAAGAGAAATTATTCAACTAATAAATTCTTATAATATTGCCCACACTGCAGCGCAGCTCAAACGCTTTCGCTGCTCACTGCGCAGTCAGCAGAGCGCGTGATTATACGTGCGTTTGGCTGCGTGTGTGCATAAAAGTGCAGAATAAGTAGAATATCAGCTTAGAGGGTTCAGGGTATCTCCCAGTCGAACAGTCTCGACTGAAGCCTGCTTACGTGTTATAAATGTTACCTATTTATTTACTTGGAAATTACTCTGGCCTGATCAACAACAACAAGTCTGGACCACGATCGCCAGGAGTTTCTATTTCTTTGTACTCGAAAATCATTGCAGTTCAATGCAGTTTTTATATGTAAGAATCTAATGTAGTCAACAAATAGAAAGGAGCTAGTATCTGTTGACTAAAATTAAACGACGCATTTGTAAATATATCGATTTTTCTTTCAAATTTATTTTTAATTGTCTAGTTTTACTATCAACTACAAATATATCAATGAATATGATACTACTTATTCCATTTTGTGAGAAAACATTTCATATTTAATACAAAATATATTTACCTGAGGCATATCCCCTTTAATATTTTTCTTCATTAAAGAGGTAATTCAAATCGGATTGATTGTTAGAAACAGATGCTTAGTTTATAGTTAATTAGGATAATAACAAATTGATAAAACTTCTACGTGATCTGGGAATGACTTCCTTCTTTGCATTTAAAGCATCTACCATCTCTAAAATAAAAAAAGAAGTTGTTAACCATTGCAAAAAAAAAAAAGAACATACATTGATTATTCTAATAATGAATCAGTTCAATAATTGATAAATCATTCATAGACATCAGTTGTACCTATCATAGTGGTCATAAAACTAGTGGATTACAAATTCATATAATCAAAATATGTTCTAACCTGCGTTTCAAGCCATTTATCATCTGAGAGTAACTTCCCTCAAAAGTGTGTAGCTATTAACAGTTTCTAAAATAAATTAAAAAGAAAATTAGTGTTAGCTGTTGCAAACTCAAATTAAACCTTTAGACTATCACAATACTGAATCAGCTTAACAATTGATAAATCATTCATAGGCATCAGTTGTCCCTATCAAAGTGGTCATCATATTAGTTGACTAAAAATTCATTTGATCAAAATATGTTCTAACCTGTGTTTCAAGCGAATTAGCACCTAGCAGCAATTTCCGTCTCAAAGTTTGTACCGTCCACCATATTCTAAAATAAAATAAAGAAAATCAATGTTAACTCTTTCCAAAAATAATAAAGCTTTAGACTATCCTGATGCTGGATCAGTTTAACAATTGATAAATCATTCATAGACATCAGTTGTCCCTATCAAAGTGGTCATCATATTAGTTGACTAAAAATTAATTAATTTGATCAAAATATGTTCTAACCTGTGTTTCAAGCGAATTAGCACCTAGCAGCAATTTCCGTCTCAAAGTTTGTACCGACCACCATATTCTAAAATAAAATAAAAAGAAAATCAATGTTAACTCTTTCCAAAAATAATAAAGCTTTAGACTATCCCAATGCTGGATCAGTTTAACAATTGATAAATCATTCATAGACATCAGTTGTCCCTATCAAAGTGGTCATCATATTAGTTGACTAAAAATTAATTAATTTGATCAAAATATGTTCTAACCTGTGTTTCAAGCGAATTAGCACCTAGCAGCAATTTCCGTGTCAAAGTTTGTACCGTCCACCATATTCTAAAATAAAATAAAAAGAAAATCAATGTTAACTCTTGCCAAAAATAATAAAGCTTTAGACTATCCCAATGATGGATCAGTTTAACAATTGATAAATCATTCATAGACATCAGTTGTCCCTATCAAAGTGGTCATCATATTAGTTGACTAAAAATTAATTAATTTGATCAAAATATGTTCTAACCTGTGTTTCAAGCGAATTAGCACCTAGCAGCAATTTCCGTGTCAAAGTTTGTACCGTCCACCATATTCTAAAATAAAATAAAAAGAAAATCAATGTTAACTCTTTCCAAAAATAATAAAGCTTTAGACTATCACAATGCTGGATCAGTTTAACAATTGATAAAGCAGTCATAGACATCAGTTGTCCCTATCAAAGTGGTCATCATATTGATTAAAAATTCATTTGATCAAAACATGTTCTAACCTGGGTTTCAAGCCATTTAGGATCTGGAAGTAGCTTCCTTCAAAGGCCTGTAGCTTTTAACATAATTCACAATAAAAGAAAAAAAAAAAACAGGAGTAGTGTTAACCATGAAAAAAATAATTAGCCTTAAGATTATCCTAATACTGGATCACTTAATAATTGATATACATTCATAGACATCAGTTGTCCCTATCGAAAGTGTCATCACATTAACCAGTTTTATATTATACATAAATATTCTTACTCATATTTAAGGTAGAATGTTCGTCTGGAAGTTACTTCTAATAGTTGTGTAGTCTTCATCAGGTAATTGAAGTCAGGTCTAAGGTGTTAGCAATTAGTACACAGCTGAAAAAGTGACCAGTAGTAAGGGAAAGCTGCAGTTTATTAAACCAAAACTGGTATTTCGACAGTATCATGTTTAACAGCACTTGCACTTAAAATTTGTTGTAAATATTACAATCCATTTTCCAAACAATTTTTTCTTACCATTCCAACCACATTCTGGGTTGACATTCCTTCCACGTGGTATCAACTTTACATTTGAAGTCTGCTAATTTTAGTGCATTTTAAAATACCGTATGATTCGTTATTTTGAACATTTTCCGTCATTTTTAGCTCAAATATGCGCACTAAATAAATAGTACATTTCTTAGTTTGTTGCTATTTACTAACACTTTATATTTTATTATATAAATAGAAATTTCTAATTGGACACTCCAATTGATATAATTTTAGTTTTTAAAGCATCCGTAACTAATGTTCTTAACTGGCCAACATTTTAAATTGCTTTCAGATACATACTTTAACTGTGAACAATCACAATTCAGCCCGTGTATGGTTCAAATTTTTTTAGCTGACTTTTCAGCAGATCAACTGTTATTCTAACAAAACACAAAAATACATACATAAACTTATTACTATTATTTATCGCTCTTCTGCGTCAGGATTAACGTCCAGGGATGCCGCCATGTTCAGGTTATGTTCCTGCTGTTGCTGTTGTAACTTTAGGCGTTTTTTCGCCTGTATATCAGCTAGAGTCTGCTCGATGGAACGCATGTCCTTTTTGTTCTTACTGGGCACAAAGCCGTAGCTTTGATTTGTCTCTGTTTTTCGGGCCGCTTGCAATGCTGCCGATTCGCCAATTAGATGTGCATATTTCGCTTTATAATTAGTGGTAGGTTTCACTTCAATGCTTGTGGGATCTGTGCTGCTGCTGCTGCTGCCATGAACTCGACTGGTGCCGGCTTCAGAATTAGCTTCTTTATTAATCAGGCTTTGCTCCTGGGCTAAACGTTCTTTTCGTCGCTCAGAGTATTCTTTGGCTATCTCCTTGTTCCAGCCCTCGCCGTTACGACGGGCTGCTACTTCGTCCTCGCTTGGTGGGTGTTCCTTTTTGTAGACCACCGAGTGACGGTCCTCCTCCTCTCGTCCGAAACTCATCGCAATGAAACCGCCGTTCTCAGCTATTTCATGTATGACAGAGCGATGCACTTTATCCAACGGCTGGAACTCGATGTATGTCCGATCGTCCTTGGCAAATCGACCCATTCTCTCCTCTACATACTTTCGAAATCGTAATAGCTCCTCCTTTTGCTTGTTTTGCAAGCGCTCCACCATTTCGCGTTGTTTTTTGATAAGCGTCTTTTGTTGTTCATTTGTTGCTGGCGGAGCATCCATTGAGTTAAGTATTGAGTCAAGCAAATCCATTTTGTCGCTGCGATTTTAACTGAGTGCGCATTAATGCTGAACTCAAATGTTTATTTTATAAAGCACACACGGATTTCTATTAAATGTTGCTAGTTTATTAAATTAAAGGCAACATTTGGATTATATTTATATTTTCATATGTATTGTACAAAATAGATTACCGGTGCTTCTCCACCAAAATACCAGATTATGAATACTGATTACCATGAAGTATTTTTTAGTGGTTTGAAAACTAAAATGGCAAATTAAAGACGGTATTTCTTATAATCTGTAAAAGAGTTGTCAGTTCACAACAAAGAGGCGGTACTGTTAAAAGACAATCGTGATCCAAGGGCTTGTTGAAAACAAAGCAAACAGCCACTTAATTTAAATTCGATGGCTGTCGAGCGTCGAACACTTATCCATTGGTTTCGCAAGGGACTCCGGGTTCACGACAATCCCGCGCTGATTCAAATATTTAATAAAGCTGGAGCGTCCCCCGATAAGTTCTCTGTCCGACCCATATTTGTATTGGATCCGGGTATTCTGGATTGGATGAAAGTGGGAGCCAACCGTTGGCGATTTCTCCAACAAAGTCTCTTAGACTTAGATAAAAACTTAAAAGAACTTAATTCGCGTCTGTATATTGTTCGCGGCAAACCAGTTGATATATTTCCGAATTTATTCGACCGCTGGAATGTAGAGCTACTAACTTTTGAAACGGACATTGAACCATACGCTGTGAAACGGGATAAAGCGGTCCAAGATATAGCAGCAGCTCATGGAGTAAAAGTGGATACGCATTGCTCACATACCATATACAATCCCGAGATAGTTATTGCAAAAAATTTCGGCAGGGCGCCTATAACTTACCAGAAATTTCTAAGTGTAGTTGAAAAGTTAAAGTTGCCCAAAGTTTTAGATAAGCCTCAACGACTGCCCAATGGAGTACAGCCAATCGCAGATGAACTTGAAATGGGACAGTCCGATGTGTACGAATGTCCAACGTTGGATCAGTTGGTCAAACGACCCCAGGAACTGGGCATTAACAAGTTTCCAGGCGGTAAGATAATCAAATATATGTTCACAGATCCTTAATTATACATAAAACTCTAAATTAACAGGTGAAAGAGAGGCGCTGCGTCGTTTAGATACATCTCTTAGTGACGAACATTGGGTCGCTAGCTTCGAGAAGCCGAATACGGCACCAAATTCGCTGGAGCCAAGCACTACGGTCCTGAGTCCGTATTTGAAATTCGGCTGCCTCAGTGCCCGATTAGTACACCAACGGCTACATGAGATACTAAAGCGGCACCCAAAGCACTCAAAGCCTCCGGTTTCACTGGTGGGTCAATTGCTGTGGCGAGAATTTTATTATACGGCTGCTGCGGTCGAGCCAAATTTCGATCGAATGCTGGGTAACGTTTATTGTCTGCAAATACCCTGGCAAGAGCGACCCGATCATCTGGATGCATGGGCTCATGGACGAACTGGGTATCCTTTTATTGATGCTATTATGAGGCAGCTGCGTCAAGAGGGCTGGATCCATCATTTGGCGCGTCATGCAGTGGCGTGTTTCTTGACGCGTGGCGATTTGTGGATTAGCTGGGAGGAGGGTCAACGCGTATTTGAGGAGTTGCTACTTGACCATGATTGGGCATTAAATGCTGGCAATTGGATGTGGCTCTCAGCGTCTGCATTCTTTCATCAATATTTTCGTGTTTACAGTCCCGTTGCTTTCGGAAAGAAGACTGATCGCACCGGCGCCTACATAAGGAAATATGTTCCTGAACTGGCTAAGTACCCAGCAGGTTGTATTTATGAGCCATGGAAAGCAACTCTTGCGGATCAGCGTGAGTTTGGATGTGTGCTGGGGATAGACTATCCGCATCGAATTGTCAATCATGACATCGTTCACAAGGAAAACATAAAACGCATGAGCGCCGCCTACAAAATAAATCGTGAAGTGCGCACGGGCAAACAGGAAGATGAAATAGACTACGATTCGTCGATGTCGCTGACTACTAGACAACGTAATGCAAGCTTCGAAACTTAGAGATCGACTGCAAAACGAAAGCGTTAAATTGAATTTCGGTCATAAATGATTAGGAATTTATTGAATGCAATTATCTAAACTTTTATAATTTGAAATTTGTAGTGTATTAATTATTGCCATTGTCGCTATATTTATATAAATATTTATATTTATATATGAATGTATATTCAATCTAGTTAATTTATATAGTATTTTTCCCTTCTCATTATGTAAAAACAATTGGAATAGTTATTTTAGTGTTATTTAAATAACAATAATGAAATAGGGTGTGAATTATAAAATTTTACCAAAATATAATAATGAATGTACAAGGTATCAATTAAATAGTTTTTGATATGGGGCTTACATATAAGCATTTATATTTTATAAATGTAAAAATGTCAAAAATAAAGGAAAAATGGGTTCAGGATATAAAAAACCACGTGAGAAAGTTTAGTCGATACTGCTCGACACCGAGAGCCCTTAAAGTCTTCGAGCCACTAATATTTAAATAATTAGCTTCTTTTATGCTTACAGAATAAAGAAACACGCACACACACGAGTATGCACGCATGAGGCTGCAATCAGTGTTGCTAGTTTACCCTATTTCAGTCTAGACTCTAGATATATCTTAATTGAAAGTGGTCTAGTCTATAGCGAATAAATCCATTGATAATGAGTAGGGAGAACTAAGTGTTGCCATCTAATATAAATAATAAATATTAATGTACTGAGGCTATTTAGCATATAATTTATCAATTATCATTTAATCATTTAGCAATAATTTAGTTTTATCAAGCATACATACATATATTAGAGGGCTACATGACTTCACCCTCAACATGTGTATGAATGTCACATAGAAGCCTTTCCATATTAAGACGGATCAGTGAGTAAGATGCATTGCTCTCTAATAAATGCATATATTTATATTCTTGAGCAGTTCAATGAGGTAATTTAGCTATGAGTGCTTGATTGCCTATATGTTCTTTTGTATGCCTGAATGTCTGTCTCTTTGGCTGTCTACCTCACAATCTGTGCCTTCGCCTGTTTTCTATATGTACGCAGCAGTATTCATATGGTATTTATATTTGAGTTAAACGAAGCTAGAATGCTTGAAGCAGCAGAGAGTGTTCGCTTTGGTCACTCAAGACTCGATTGCAATGATCTCTACCTGACACCGAGCTGAAAATTTGAGAGGCACTCAGGCTTTGAGTGAAAGACGCCCTTTATAAAGGGCAGCAGCTGAAGCATTTCTTCAGTCGCTCGGCCCGGCGGGGCCAGTAGTGCAGTGCAGTGCAGTACAGTACGATACAGTGTTTTTTTTTTTTTTTTTTAGTTTTAATTTTTATACCCTGTCCGTCTGTCCGTATGTTTCAACGCGTCGATTTCCGAAGATATAAAAGCTAGAGACTTGAATTTTTTTTTTAAATGACCGTATATACAGCGCGGATGTCGAGTTTGCTTTTAAAATTCGATAAATCATCCCGTTATGTTTTTATCGAATAAAAACATTCAAGTTCAAGTCAGATGCCACTATAGCTAATTGTGAATGATTTTTAATTTTTTTTTTTTAATTTCTAAGATATCCAATATAATATGTAGATCATATGCTGAAAGTTTCATTAAATTCCGCTCAGTCAAAAATTAATAAAAATCATCAAATATTTGGCCAATTAACAAACGCACGTGAGCAGCTACAACTGCATCGTATACGTGTGCACACATACATTCAAACTTCTTCTGGAACATTCTTTGAATCACATCAGCTGTTAGTTTGGTTTAGTTTTGGTAGCTGGCGCTGCAGCAGTGAATCTGTTTGAGTTTTGCCAGCGCACCTTTCAGAAGTGAGGTGGCGTGTTGTGTTAGTTGCATGGCGCTCGATTGAGAAGTCGCGGTTCAAATCCCGTTCGGTGCAACTAATATTAAATTTTTTAATTGTTTCAAAATATTTTTATATTTTCATAAATGAGTTTTCTATTTAATTTATATTTTTAAATACATCGAAATTGAAATTTTAGCCATACTAAATGGGCATTTTTATTAGTTGGGTTCAGGGTAGTATCTAGTCGAGCACTCTCGACTAGAGTTTTCTTACTTGGTTATGGTTGATTTTTTCATTTTTATACGCATTCAAGAAAGTGAATTAGTATATTGGTTTTGTGCAATGTCCGTCTTGCTGTCTGTTTGTCCGTATGTCCGTATGAACGCAATCTATTTCGGCGCTAAAATCTTCCCGATCCACCCATTAGGGGCGTGGCAAATCAGACCTGAAGATATAGTGATTTTTTAAATTCTACTATATTTTGGACACAATTGATGCCAAAATTTTGTATATATACTCGGGCTGATCACCCAAGACAAAAAGTTTTGTCGGAAATATGTCCGCCCACAGGGGGCGTGGCAAACCGCAAAAGTTTATATCTCCTAAAGTATAATACCTAGAAGCCTCAAATTTAGATACTTAAGCTACCAGTAACCTCCTCTATCGATGACCCAAAAATAATTCGAACTTTGCAGTTAGGGTACCGTTATCACGTTCTAAGAACTCACAAAAAATGAGGTGTCTACGCCCAGTAGTGGCGTAGCAAATCGGAAAAAAATGTATTTTCTACAGTATTAGAGCGAAACTTAACTATTAAATTGTTGATGTGATGTGAATGAGTATTCCGCAGTCGGTAACGCCCGACTGCAACGTTCTTACTTGTTTTTATACCCTGAACCCATTGAAAATGGGAAATCAGGGTATAATGGTTTTGTGAAAAGTATGTAATAGGCAGAAGGAATCATCGCCCCATAAAGTATACATATATATTCTTGATCAGGACGACGAGCTGAGTCGATATAGCCCTGTCCGTCCGTCCGTATGAGCAAAAGGATCTCAGAAGATATAAGAGATTTTGTCATTTACAGATTTTGGATACCACGCCCCATTCGCCCCCAATTTGTAAAAAACGCATTTCAAGTACTAGAGACTTGTGCTTTGGAATGTACACACATTTTAACCATATGATTACGCTCTGAAAGTTTGATTAAGATTGTATGTCTACAAAAGAAATTATTCAACAAATAAATTCTCATAATATTGCCCACATTGCAGCGCAGCCGCTGCTTACTGCGCAGTTAGCAGAGCGCGTGCTTATAAGTGCATGTGTATGCATGTGTACATAGAA